CTTTCTTTTCTGAACAAGCTTAAACTCTGCAAGATCCCCTGAAGTCCCTGTGGCTTCTTGCTGCTGCTGTGCAGTGGGTCAGGAAGGGCAGAGCTGAACCCACAGCTTAAGTAGTCCACTCTCATTTTAATTTCACAGGTTGAGCATGGCTAGTGCAATTCACATGTAAAACCACAGCAGTCATCCAAATCTCTGCTGCCTGGGCATTGGCTGGCTGCATTGCTGGAAAGTCATGGTCATAACATACACCTATTTTTTGAGTTTCCATTAGGAACCGGTTCTGTCAGGCATGATTGCATTCACAAGAGCTCAGGAGGCAGGAAAATTTGAAAAAGTGTTTATGAGACTGGGCATAAATCACAGCTCTCAGGATTTTCTCCCTTCTTCAATTAAAAAACTACATTGAGAGCAACCATTCGCCACATCTACTCCCCCCATCTCCCTCCAGGAATGATGAATCCCACTCCAGCTGTAAATTGGATCCCAGGTGTACCCATATATATTATACATACATAACAGCTACTTATGGGCATAAGGGCTCTTGCACAGTTACTGTGGAAACGAAGGTATCAAATTTCCTGGCTCTTAAGGCTCTACCTTCACAACCTTAATGTGCATTTACCTTGAATAAATCACTTATGCACCATCCAGCTCAGAAACATCCCTCAGAAGGGTGCGACTGCGTTCATCCCTAGGAGGCTCCATGTAACCCATCACCAAAGTCCCAGGAACATAGGGCTGCCTCTGACCCACACAACCCATGGGTGAAAGCAGGGTACAGGACAAGAACATCCTTCTGCAGGCACGCAGATGTGTTCCTGCCCAGCTCAGCTCCAAGGGGCACAGACCACTCCTGGGGCAACCACTGCAGGCACTGCTGGCAGCGAAACCCCTGGCAGCTCCTCTCGCTGCCCGATGGCACTGGGGCACTGGTTTGTCTCACAAGTGTTCGTGACAACTAAAGGTTGAATTTGGCCCTGCAGGAATCATTTACCAGCTACTGAAATACTGCCCGGTCTGGATGGGGGTGCAGCAGCAAGGAGCCACACAAGACACGAGGCAGTGTCTTGAGGAGAATGTCATCACATCCTGCTAAGGGTCCGGAGGGACAATGTGACACTTCAACATAAATTTCTTCCAGTTCTGGCCGTGACCACACAAGAACCCAAAGATACTTTTACACCAAGTGCAAATTCAGCCCAGATGTAACCTCAGAGACTTCAGCAGAGCTTCCTGTAGGGCTGAGCCTGACCTACGTCGTCTGTGTGTAAGCCCAGCTCAGAAATTCTCCCTGGGTAACTGTGAGAGGACCCTGCATCTGCACAGCTTGTCACAGGGATGCTGACACTGTCCTGCAAGAGGCACCTCAGCACCCAGCATGGCATTAAAAGCATTCACAACAGCCGGGTGAGACAGCTGGTGACAGCAGTGGCTTTCGGGGTCTCCAGGGCTGCTGTGCACTGTGTGACTTTCAGTTCACTCCCCAACCCATCTGCTAAAATTCACAGCAAACAGCAGAACTGCTCTCGCCTCGTTCACATTTCAGGATCTTCGTTTTTATGATGATCTTTGGCGTTTTCAAGGCACTCCTCCCTCCACAGTAACTCAGTGCTTAGCCAAACTACCAGGAAGACGAGAGACTGCTGATCCCTCAATTAAAAAGTACTTTCGTACTTATACATCTAGAAGAATACCATTGTCAACCATACAGTCTTCCTATTACGTGCTGGCTATGCACACAAACTGATACATTCATAAGCTGAAACATGAAAGACATCATCAATATACAACAAAGTGACTCGCTGCAATTCTGTCACCCTCCCCAGCACAAAGGCAGGGCCTCTTCCTGTCACAAGCCAAGCCAAAACAAGACCTGGCTCAGATGGGATGTCAAAACGTCAAACTGTATGTACTTAATCTTTGCACTTCTGAAACAGCCAAGATCCTGTGAAAAGAAATTATTACAGTTCTTTCCTTTTTACCTTTTCAAGCACACAGGAAGGTAAGTTTGGACATTGCTACCCTCAAAAATTTCCTGATATCACAATGCAGCTCAACTTTTTTTCTTTCCTTTTTTTTCTTTGCCATCTTCTAGTTTCTTGAAAAAGCCCTCTCTGCCCCGTCTTCCTGGCTGGCAGGTTGTGCTGTTTGGAAATGATTCTTTTCCTCCCCTCACTTCGTACTGCCCACATCCCACTCAGTTCCACACCTCGGCCTTGTCCCTTGGCTAAGCTTAGCAGGACTTTCTCTGCAGACCTTAATCACTGCTCCCAGATTAGTTGGGGTAGGTGTTGCAGACAGATGCACAGTCCTTCCTCTCCCACACCCAAACTCCCTGCCAAACTCTGGCTTAGGAGTATCATACCGGATCTTGAAATCAAGCTCTGGGGTCTTGCACGATAAATCAGAGCAATTGCTGGGGCTGGGCTGTACCTCCTTTACTCATGGCAAGTCGGGGGGGGTAATTTGCCTGATGATTTGACAGCGCTTCACCTACAGAGCAGATGTTACTGTATTAGCAATCATTGACAAAAATCCTGCTTGTTTGATGGGAAACAGGATGAGGTCCTCAGGAAAAACTTCCCTGCAACTCTGCTGGCATCCTTATGAATCCTGAGATTTTCCCAGCTAGAGCACCCGCCCAAAAGAGCTGGCCTGGGGCTGCTCCGACCCCTGAAGAGCCAAATATGAAGTAAATAAGAAGTTCAAACTCTCTGCCCTTTATTGCTTCCTTATGATACTTAATGAGCCTTCCCTACACTAATACGTCATTCCTGCTCCGCTCCCCAAGCCACACAGTCACTAGAAATATTTGGGTCTGCCTTCCCTCTGTTTTGCTGGAGGATTCTCTGAAGGACTGGAGTTGAATAGTGGTATCACAATAGGCTGAAGCCGGAGGTTTAGCTTTCCAGCCCTTAGACAGACTCAATGCCCCTCTCTAACTCAGTTGGAAAGCTGCAGCTCAAATTTCAGCCTATGTTAAGTCACTGTTCAGCTCTGCTCCTTCAGCAAGAGAGAGGAAAGCCAGCAGAGCCTTTTTCTAAAGCAAAAAAACTGTGGGGGAGAAGGACAGGGGAAGGAAGCAAAAACACATGGAGATTGTTTTTTGTGCATCACAAGGAGCAATGAAAGACACAGGCAACTTTTCAAACATGCCAGAATAGTTTAGTGTGATTTGTAACCAAGAGGAGGTTTGAATAAACAGCTCAAACATCAACTTTTTTGGAGGGGGAGGAGATAGTTAAGGTAGCAATGACCTGCATGGAGACCCTGCTATCACCCTTCTGACTTCTGCAGAGGATTGACACATTTACATCATTTTGTATCACAGAACCATCGATGTGAACTACTGACACCAGCATCTCATTAAGGAGAAACAAAGACTTAACAAGGGCTTCAACATCAGCACTGCTGCCCCACATCACAGCCCACAACATCCCACCCCAGCCAGTCCCCCAACACCAGTGTCCGCTACAGAAAGTGCCTGACCCCACACACCCCCCTGGCATCCACCCACCTTCCTAAACACACTCAGAATTGGCTGCAACCCACTTGCACGAGAGCAAGGACAGCAAATACAAACCCAGAAAGGCAGGAGATGAGGCATGTCTTCCTCACTGTTTTTCAGGCAAACCAAGAGTATCCCCTCTCAGGCCTGCCAGACCAAGCTCAAGGAATCAAAACTCCATTCCTAATTAACACATCATCAGGCCCCACGGGCCAGGGACTTGCCTCCCAAGAGGGGAGCCTGGGCCAGCCCCAATGATGAATGAGAACTCAAGCAGCTGAATTGTTTCAAACGCTAAACTGGCAACTGCAAGGACAAGGAGGTTTGGAAAGGCCCGCAGAAAAAACAAAATATCCAGCGCGGTCACACTGTTTTCACTGTGTAGCACTGAGACCTGCACTCTGTTACTGCTGCAGAGCTTTCCCTCCAGTCTCTGCAAAGCCCACAGCTACAAGAGTAGCTCCTCCTCTCCCAAAATGCAGCTGCTTCTTGGGTGAAAACCTCATAACTGCAAACCACTGGAGGGAAATCTATTCTGCCAGCTTAACCCCGGCAAACTTTCATGAGAAAATTAAATTGATGTACCACGCTTGGGACATGTACACGAGACCAGCCCTCTTGACTGCAGCGTTCTTGTACAGCAGGGACAGCAGTTTCATTCCCTTGCATGACCATTACAAACACTGAGGAGAAAGGGCCTGGCATTTGCAAAGATCTGTATTTTGACTGTTCCTTGACACAGCAGAATAGGACCCACACGTCCACTGCAGTGATAGTCACATTTGTTGCAAAAGACCTCCCAAACAGACAGGCCATGCAACATAATTCCTCTGTCTGCTGGCACCACTCCACACTGTTCCGCTCTCCCTCTTCTTTCAGCCACAAATGCCCCAGCAGAGGCAGCGAGCTCTGCTCTATTATTGGAAGACTCAGTGGAGCACATCCCCCACAAGTCAACTACCTCCCCCTTCCAATCGAGCAAAGGGAGTATTAAAACCCAGCAACTGTCTCCCGTTTGAACCAGATGGCAGAAATAGCTGGAGAGCTTTCAAACATCGTATACACTCAATACTTCAGTGCAACATGAAAGCCCCGTTAAGCAAGAGCGTGGCTACATACACACCCCTGCTCAGGGACCACAGCAATGGCAGAAAGTGCTCCATTAACTCCTCTAGTGGCTTAAGTGTCTGTCAACACTCAGGACATTCACACAGCGTGAGCACTGGCCAAACTTTGGTGGCTTGTGCAGTCCTTGAGCTCTCCTGAAGCTATAAATTGCAGCAGGCTGATATTATAAACATGGAAAGCTGGAGATTGGCAAGTTAAGACCATCACTCTGTGTCACATCTAACTCGTTTCCAGCTGCCTTGAGTAAAAGGAAGAGCCACCAGAAACCTCATGCTCTGAAGACACAAAGACGAGCACAATCCCCTGCCCTGTCCAGCTCCAGGGGCAAGCACGGAGCTCCACAACTCAGTTCCAGCTCACTCACCTCGTCCATTTTTTCTGACGTTGGAGTCTGGTCACCAGGCACCATCTCTTTAGCCTCCGAGGTCTCAGTTTTGGAGGTCCTGCCCAGCTGATCACTGGGAGTCATGCTGGCCTCCGATGTCCCCCGGGAATTCTGACTCAGAGAAGCTGTCCCAGGGATGGGCTCGTCGTCGTCGGAGTCAGGTAACGGCGTTGGGCTGATGTCCTCCAAGCCCGTGCTGGAAGGGCGTGAGGAAGGCGTCTGCCCCCTGAAACCGGGCTGAGAGTTTGAACCGTACGGTGTGATGGGAGAGAGCTGGGAAGAAGAGGAGGAAATAGGGCTACCTTCCATTCGGATCTCGTTATCTGAGTCATGCTCGTTAAGAAAGGGTAACTTTGTTCTCTGCTCTTTCAAGAGCATCTCAATCCTTGAGTCTAAACTGTTATGCTGCATTTCAGACTCCATGGTGGGGGTGCCAGGGGTCTCGCTCCTCTCTGGAGTCTGAGAGAAGGATGCTGTGCTCGGTTCAGGAACAGAGTTCGAGTCGGGCAAGGGCGGAGGCTCCTCTGGTTTCTCCTTCACTGGGACAAAATCGATGCTAGGGGCAGCACTGCTTTCCACAACCATCTCGGTGGGAGGGGGCGCAGGTCTCCGGTACTCTGTTTCCCTGGAAGTTTGGGGAAACTGCTGCTCATCGGATTGGGGAAATACAGCTGGTGGTTGGTAGGGAGAGAAGGCAGATTTGTAGCTCGAAGAACTAGAGTGGCTCAGGGGAGGAGTGTGAGAGAACTGAACTGGCTCCTGCTGATGGGATTTGTACGTACTGAACTGATGCTCCGTGCCTCGGAACACACCCGCCGAGTTGTGCACGTAGTGATGTTGATGTCCCGGGCGGCGGTTGTAGGCATCCGTAAATTTTGTTTCATGTCTCCTGGGTTTGTACCCACTGTCCTGCCCAAAATGGTACACAGGCGTTGTCTGACGGCTGGAATAGGTGGAATCCTGGGAAAACGGCGTCCCTAACCGTGGGGTGTGAGGTGTTCCTTGGGACTGCGGGGTGAATTGGCTGTACGAGTTCGGGGTGTCTTGCCGACAGCTGGAATAGGCTGTGTCGTGGGAGAAGGGCGTGCTGCTGTTTGGGGTAACAGAGGAGCCCGTGGAAGAAAGGTTACTGTCTTTCAGGCGCTTCAGGGAATCCGTCAACTGTGAAAACAGAACAGAGAAAAGCACCTAAACACACACTTTTACAGAGACATTTGTCTAATCCGTTTGGTTTTCAGAGGAGTTGAGTACCCGAGAGTTCGCAGTGATTTCCACGACCAAAAAATAAATAGGTTACAGAGTCCCTGAAAACACAAACCATTATCCATTATTAACAGTTCCCTTTGATTTAAAAGAAAAAGGCAAGCAAAGAGGAACTTGTCTGCAAGAGGAGGAAGAAGAAAGCAGACAGTTTTCCTCATAAGCTACACCCAAGTGCATCAGGTGAACAGGAGACTTGCACACCACTTTTATCTGAAGGAGTTCCAATTTCTATCAACTATGTAAGGCTTGTCTAAATTGCATATAGGAAAGAAAATTTAACAAGTCTGAGATGTGAGATTACCAATTTATCTTTTTTTGTGAACAAATCAAAACATACAAAGCAGCAAACTGCCAGCCTGCAGCCAAACCTCTGCAGCAGAGCTGCCCCACCAGCCTCTCTCCCAAACATTCATCTATAACAAGGGAGAAGGCTACACATATAAAAGGCATAAAAAGTTCTCAACTGCCAAAAGCACCTTTTTAAAGCCCTTCCTGAAGATGAATGCTCAGGCAGAGCACTACTGACTATGGCATTTGAAACTGAAACCCCACAAACCTACAGAGCAGCCAAGTCATTGCTCTGCAACTCACTCCACAGGCACGTTCAGGGGGTTTCTAGGAGCAGCCCTGCTCCAACTCAGACTCTGCTGAGTCATAACAGTGCCACACTAATCATCAGCTCCGGAATCAATTTTCCATAATGCAAAGCAGGAGCTCAGTGAGAATCCCCCTGGTAGCAAGAGAGCTCCCCAAAATCACATCAGGACAGCAAACTGGTGAGGCTACAGGCTGGCTGCTCCTCTCTCAAGCACAGGCAGGTAGACACACCTGTAAAATGACCTGCGTGGAACATGCCAGCAGCAAACTCAAGCTGAGCCCTCACCTGCCTGCTGTGCTCACACACGTCTCACCCACTCAACAGTGTGCACTTGCTCTTGGTGTGACCCCCTAGAGACCATGACCACATGGACATCAGGAAAGTTTCTTCCTCAACTGTTCTAAAACCCACAGGAAGGAGCAGGAAGCACGTGGCTGGTTCTTGACAACAACCACATCTCTGCACCTTTGGTGTAGACTGTCTTTCAGTGGGGTTTGTACATGACCTAGAGGCAGGGACTGCAGAACTGTCAGGTCTTTGCTGCTCTGCATGAGGGGGAAGGCAATTGTCAGGAGTATTTTACTAAACTACAACAGCAAATAAGTTTGTTGGTGGATTCTAGTGTCAAAACCACGATGCAAAACAGCTGAAGTTACCCACAAAGCAATAATTTTGGTGATAATTGGGGAAAAAATCAATTCAGGATAATAATATAATACAAAAACACAGCATCTAGAGAAACAATCTAAAAGATAATTACAGCAGGGACTACTTTGGGGGATACCATCAATTTGCTGCTAACCCTGAAAAAGGAGTAAGAACAAATCTGTCTATTTTTATTTGAGATATGGAACCAGCAGAAATGAGCAGCCAGGCCCTGCTCATAGCAGGGCTCCCAGCAAAATCATTACTTGCCTCCCTCCTGCCTTTAAAAGCACCTTGCTGGGAGGTAAGGAAGAACCAACCTCTTCATGATTTTATTAAAAAGATACTGAGATTTTGCCTTGGTGATATTGGGATGGCTGGTGGGAGGAGAAATTTATTTTTTCAGATCAATGGAATTTCCATGTTCAAGGAATAGCTCTCACCTGTCCTGAGAATGCCTGATCTCAGAATTAATGAAATCGTGACATTTTAAGAGCACAGAGAAGTAGAGAAAAGAAATCCCTGCCAAATCTCTTTCAAATTTGATGTCTTAAAGTGGGTTCTTAAGTCACAATGAGGAGCCAAAGTACATTTAGACAAGTCAGCCTCTCTGGCTGACAACTTCACACAAACAGGCTTCCCTTCCCCCTCGCCCTCTCATCCCAGTGGGGATTGCAGGGAAGCAGGTAATCGTACGAAGCCATGCAGAGAATTGTGCCCTAAATATCGAGGGACCCCTGGAAGCCCTCAGGAATTCTGCCCACTGCTTTTATTAACAGCTGATTCCAGCAACTAATTAAGATTCTGGAAAATTGATGCCACTATTGAAGCTCAGTCTCCTTCCACCTTTTAGCCTTTAAGCAAGGCTGAAGTCCGTGAGCGCTGAGATTACACACCACAGACACCAGGCCAAATGTACCACTGTAAATCATTCCCCTGACTTCAAGGGAATAATCTCATCTCAGGGACAGATCTGATCCAGTCCTAACTGCAGGAATTTCTGATGTTAATAGGGCACATTCTGTCGGTTTTGGAGGCATTTTTCACTCAGAAAGACAAAAAGCACTTCCCGTGCTATGGAGACACAGATCAGCCACATGCTCTGATTCAGAGGTACATTTGCTATGGCAATTATGAGCAAGTTATATTTAAATGTGAATTAGCAACATCCACTGGAACTACGGCAAGACAGGAAAAAGAAGCTAAATTAAAAGTGTTAAAACGCTAACTTTAATGTTTGGAGTTTTCTAGAAAGTTATTCTTAAAAAGAAATCAAAAGCCAAGCACACCTACCTGGAGAGCTTCATTCCCAGTTGGGGACACGTCCTGTTCGGTGCCTACAGGGAGGGTCTGAGGAGTGTAAAGACCATTAACGAGCAGTTCATAGAATCGCATGCGGGTCTCACCTGCACAGACCACAATGTGAGAGTTGATTAAACAGGAATAATACAATCTTGGTGAAAATACACATTCTTGACACCCACATGACCCTGCTATCGCTCCCAGCCCGCTGCATCCATGCAAGAGAGGAGCAGTTATCACCTCTGAGCTCCCAGGGATCATTTTTAAATAATCTGCTGGGCAAGAGAAGTCAGACACTCCCTTCTCCAGCCAAGACAAGGAGGTTTCTAAATCCTTTTTCCTCTTCTCAGCCTGCTTGGCAGCTCTGCTCCTTACCATGCTCTCTGGAGCGCAGCCGTTTCCCTCCTCTCCAAAGTGCCAAGCAAATAGCTTGCAGACTTGAGAAGTGAAACTCTCACCCAAGGGAGAAGCCTCTGCCAACACCCAGAGCCTCTTCAGAAAGCTCTCCCTGCGCACCTTGCTCGTAGAAACTGCCTGTTACTAATGCAAACACGGTGCATGGGAATGCTGAGGACAAAACCGTTAATGCTGCCTTTCCAAAACACACCAATTAATCCTTTTTCCCCCCCCATAATTTAAGGAGTAGTCAGTAACATCCTTAGAAGAACAAAGCCAGAGAAGCAAACTGTCCCATACAGTGTTACTGACCCTCAGCCTTTTCATTCCCAAAGTCTACAAAGACCCAGTTTCTCAATACTGAATTTTTCGTTACTACAAAAACTTAATCCTACTTATTCTGCAGTCTGTAAGAAATCTGTCATCAGCTTCAAAGGCAACAGAATCAAACCCTGAAACTGTCTGAATTTTGCTCTGAAAGATAAAGAATACATAGAAAAATGGACAGACCCAGCACCTGAGCCCAGAAAATGAATTCAGGCAATATCTCCCCCAAACCAGGACTACTTTCATGCAGAAGTCCTGTACGATTAAACCTCAAACTCCCTGTGAATCACCCCATAAAATCCAAAAGCAAAGCACCCCTTAGCACAATTCTGTGTAGTGAAAGACTTACTTATCTTGAACAAATGCTGCAGATGAGGTTATTTGGGTATCAAATCTCATTTCACAAAAGTCCTGGGCCGTCCTCAACTACATAAACTGTTTTAGCTCAACTGAAGTCGTGACAAAATAGATCTTTTCACTGCAAGAGCTTGAAGATATGCTTGAAATATTAACACACACCGCCTACACATAACACAATGCCGTGTATATAGAAGTGTCAGGCTTATTTTCATTGGTTTTTGAAAAAATATACAGTAATTGTTACAAAGTTTCATAATTCTTTCTGAATCCCCAATATAATGCAGGAAAAGTTACAGTTTCAAAGAGGTTTATGAATGTGAAATGAGTTCTATCTATTTCTCTAAAACAGGCAATTATTAATTGTGTCCAGCCCATAAATGGATAAACTGAGGCAAAGAAGTTGCTCTAAACAAGCCTGTCTTAGATGAGGAGACTGGATTTATTAGTTTCAGATTCCCAGGCCTATGCTCATTCCAGACAGATAAAAATGACACTTTCGCTCCTAATATTTATTTTTCTACACTATGAAAACAAAGGTTTTAACCAACCTTTCCTTCTCTTGAAGAGTGAAATACTAGAAAGAAATGTTAAAACCGATATATATATTTTAAGTATGCCCTAACCTGCTAATGCTATTTTAGGAATTCCATTTTTACTTGATTCTGACAGATTATAGCACACTGACAGTCCTACTCTTTTAGAATGAAAGAGAAGCAACTGTGTGAAAAAAATACATTAGAAGCATAAAGCTGGCAAAAAAAACCTCCCAGAAATGCAATCTGAAAACAGACTTCAGTGTTTTCTCCCAGGAAACAGAAGACTAAACCCCCCTCATTTTCCTGATGTGCTGCAAACTTTCTGGAACAGCTGCCTGGTCAAGACTTGCAGAGTAGTTTACAAATGGAGGAGAACAAGGAGGAAGGTAGTACAATCAGCTTGCTTAAAATTACTCTCATTAAGACATCCACCGCTTATGAGCCAGCTTTAGCTTACATTAGTAAATCTGCAGATGGTTAATTTGTTCTTAAATGTGATTTTTACCTTCAAATTTAAAAGCAGGGGAAGGAGCCTGTCTGTAAAAATTAATGATACTAGAATTTCAAAGTATACACATGTAAGGTCAAGCTCACAATAGAAAATATTATACCACTACTGTGATTTCTCTTCTAACAGTGGTCAGTAATGTCAACAAACATCCTGTTCTAGTCTATCACATGTGGCACACCGACTGCTGTGCTGGTCTTGCACTAAACTGTTGAAACCTTTTAGTACAGAACAAAAATAACAGCATTTTTAAGAAAATGGTGTTAGCAATGTCCTCTTCCCAAGAAGGAGTGCAGCAAGTCAGTTTTAAACTAGAAATGCCACCTTTAGAAGGAAGTACAAGCAGCAACAGATCTACACCTCCTCAGCTTTAGATATTTTATAAAATTCAGACAGATTTTAGCAAAGCCCTTCCCTAACACGCTTGGAGGAGAGAGAACAGACTAAACACAATGCCTTCACACTTCCAGAAACTTTATTGGACTCCTGAGGGCTCGGGTGTGAGGCTGGGAGCTGGTTACTCCAGGACAGGGAGTTCCTGTCGCTTTAAGAGCCAGTCTCACACTTACACACTCGCACACCCTGACAAGTGCTGCGTGTGCACTCTGCTGCCCCAGCCTCCAGTGTGCTCTAAGTATCAATGAAATGCCAGGCACGCAGAGGACAGTACCCAGCCCTGCTGCCGCTGCCAGAACCCAGGGATTCGGGTCCCAGCATCCACCAGGACTTGCCCAAAAAGCCCAAGTTTGCAAAAGGCGGGTGTCCCGGGGTCCGGCAGCCCCGGCAGGTGGCCAAGAGGGGCCAGCCTGGGGCAGGGAGATGGGGGACATGGGAGAGCAGGGAGCGGGGACAGGGACGGGCAGGGGACAGGCAGAATGGCAGCATTTTGCAAATTACAGGGCTGTCTCTTAGCAACAGACAACACATTTGGCTCCACGTGACTCGCCCAGGCCCCAGACACCAGACCCGCTGCCGGCTCTCATCGTATTTTTAATCACCAGGTTCCTGCCCTCTGCAACAGCCTCCGTGGTGGAAGCGGGATGGTCAGGGGCTCTGTAAACCCCAAAACGCGTGAGGCCGGAATGTGCCTCCTCACCTTTCGTATCCAGCTCCACGTGAATGATGTTGCCCATGACAGAGGTGTTGTGAAGGTGCTGGACAGCCTCCCGGGCACCCTTGACAGTGGCAAAGATGACTTTGGCAATGCCCAGGTGCTTCTTGTTCTTGGGGTTGTAGAGAATCTCCACCTCTTCCACTTCTCCGTATTTCTTGCACATGTCGGCCAAAAAGTTTTCGCGGATGTTGTCGTTCAGCTTGGCAAAGGTGACCTGCTTGGGAGGCACTGGCCCCACGTAAAATTCATCAATCTGGAACGGGCACAAGGTGGGGAGCGATACAAACAATCATCATTGTTTAATGAGCGTGGGGGAGGGCCTAAGGATGGCACGGGAGGGAGAGGGTTAAAACATCCTGCAAACTTTGGGGGGGAAAAAAACCGCTTCTGAGGCTCTGGGATGAAGCTCAGAGCTGAGCAGAGGCTCTGCTGCCGCAGCCATTCATTGGAACCGGCTCCTTTCTGGGCTACAAAGATGTATTTTGAGCAGCACTGAGTGGAGAGCCCCCTTCCACCGCCCCCCGCCCAAAAAGCCCCAGCTCCAAAACCTTCAAGTGATCTCGTTAGACAGATGCATTGATTTCTCGTTATCCTTATAGAAGAGGATTACTGTTAAACAGTTTGCTAAATAACAATGTTAACAGGAATATGACTGTCATTTAAATGGTCCATTAAACTATTTGGAACTGAGGCTTCACTACCAGATAAACAAGAAGACAGAGCTAAAACCAAAATTCGGGGCAGTACCTTGAATTTGGGGACAGACAGCTCCAACTCCTTAGTTTTGGTCCATATTCGCCCTATTCTGGGATCCCTGACACAATCCACAGGAGCGATTCCCGAGTTCTAGGAGGAGGAGGAGGAGGAGGAGAGAAAACACAGAAACAGCAATAATAAGGCTTGAAATTTAAGACACAAATAAAAGAAAAAATAAACCCCAAGGAAGCACGGGCTGTCTCATGGGAAGGCGAAAGCGCACACACACACACACACGTGTCAAATTGCAATACTGCTGGGAAATGCACACAGATTGGAAACACAGGAAAAAGCCGCAGGTTTGGGCTCCTGACAGTTGAATACACAGTGTCAGGTGGCGGTAACTTTGGTGGCTGTGCGTGTCCCCCCAAGACCCCCCTCCCACACACGGCGGGGATTACCACGACCCGGAGGGACCCCCAACCCCCAAAACGCCGGTAACACGGAGGCGGGGGGGGCGGGGGGAGACACAACACAGTGAGGGAAACCCGGGAGCCCCCCACTCACAGGCATGCTGAAATGTTGCCCATCGTAACGGTAGAGTTTGTGCTGTCCTTTTTTCAGAGCCGGGTCAATAATCAACTTGTAACTTCTCCAATGGTGATTTCTTTTCTCGACAGAAGTGCTGGCTTGCGTACTGTTCTCCATTCCGTTGATCCAACCTGGACGGGGGGGGGGGGGAGGGGAGAGAGAGGAAGGGGAATGGGAAGAGAGGAAAAAAATCACACGGAAAACCATAAAGTTAAAAAAAATATTTAACAAAGACCTCTTCGTTTCGGTGTGTTTTTTTTTTTTAAACGAGCCGCCCGCTCTACACACCCAAGCAGGGAGGAAATCCACCGCGAAGCGAGCCCCAAAATGGGGGAATTGCCAGCCGGGTCCCCCCTCCACCCCAGTCAGACAAGAGGCAGAGAGGGAGAAGGAGGAGAGGAGAAGGAAAAAAAAAAAAAAACGAAGAAGAGGAAAAAAAAAAAAAGACCCAGTCTCACTTGAACTCTGCTTTTTGCCATGATCTTCAGGGTGCTTGGCTTTTTCCCCCGCCTTGGTCTCTCGGAAAGACATCGCGCTGGGCGGCCGATCGTCTCCGGGCGGCGAAAGGCGAGCTCCCGTCTCACATGGGGCCGGTTACCGGCGCGGGCTGCCCGCCAGGCTCCTGCCTCCCGTTTTCGCGAGCCACCACATATTGTGTGTGCTCGCTGCTGGCGGCGGCCGGGATCCCACAATACACCGCTGCGAGCGCCGCGAACGCCTCTACCCGCGCTCCGCCGCCTGCACATTCACGGCGGCCGCGCCGCGCAGCCCCCGGCCCGCGGCCGCCCGCCGCCGCCCCGCCGCCGCCGAGCGCCGCCGCATGGGCCGCCGCCGGGACGCGCGGGTTTTTTTCCCCTCCCCGCCGCGGGGCTAACGGCATGCGGGGGGGCGAGTGGAATCTGCCCGCTGCATTTACCTTAGCGCAAACTGTTTCTAAACAAGATGGACCTATAGGTGGGACAAGTTGGTCGGATTTTTTTTTTTTTTGCTTTGCTTTGCTTTCTATCTTTTTTTTTTTTTTTTTTTTAGGGAAAGACTTCGGCGAGCCCGGGAGACCGCGGGGGCGGGCGGAGCGCGGACCCGCCGCGCTGCTGCGGCGGAGGGGTGGCCACACACTCAAGGCGGGCGGGGGGTGTGTGATGGAGGATGAGGGGGGGAAGCAGTTTTGCTTATTAAAGGTCCGGAGCCGTCGGCAGCCAATCAGCGGGGAGGTTCCATTTTGTTTTCGGTGCGAGAGGCGGGCGGGCGGCGCGGTGCCCCCGGCGCTCGGCGGGCGCGGGGCCGGGCGGAGCGCGGCGGGCGCATGGCGCGGCCGTCCCGGGGCGCGGGGCCGCGGCGGCTCCGCGAGCGGCCGCGCCATTGGCTGCGGCCGGGGCAGCGCGGCGGGCGCAGCCAATGGGAGCGCGGCTTCCATGGGGCCTGAGTTATTAGACGGCGGGGTAAAAGCGCCGCGCGGCAGAAGCGGCCAAGGAAGGGCCGCGGGACCCGCAGCCATTTTTCTGCAGTGGAGCGAAATGGCCAAACTGGGCTTTTCCTTTGTTCCACAAAGAGGGGAATCCGCCATGTGAATCCGCACCGCGCGCGGTGGTGGGAGCCTCCATAGCGCGGGTGCCAGACGACCCACTGAAGAAGGAAGATTTATAAAAATAATGCCAAGCCCTTAACAAAAAAAAAAAAAAAATTTAATGCGGACTTTTTTTTTTTTTTCTCTCCTCCCTTATGATTCGGGATCCATCTTTGTCTTGTGTAACTAGGTCACGGCACACCCTATGTCAGCAGTTAACAATTTCGATTGCCAACCAAAAAAAAAAGTAAATACATGATTTTTATATTTTTTTTCGTTGTTTTGGGGGTTTTTAAGCTTTAAGCAGCTCTGATGGCTGAAAAATAAATTTGAGAGATTTATCTCCTGTGTTAAACACTTGATTCCTGGCCATTTTTATTAACTCCTTTGGTGCTTAAAAGGTAACGTTTTAAATATAGGTATAGGAATAGTAAATTCTGGCAAAAAAATAAGGCAATTTTACTATTATAAGCTTTTTTTCTTTTTTCTTATGTTGTAAGTACCCAATCCATTCTGTCCTTGCTAAGTGTAGTTTTCATATTAATGTTACTGGAGTGGTCCTTATTGCTAAGCCTTCATTTGCATGTCTTATGTTTTTATCTGTTTAAACCAATTTATGCTTTTTTGAAATATTTTACTTATAAAGCAAAATACCTAGCCAGGCTATGTTTATAAGTTGTTTAGAACCAGTAAATGTTAACTAGGTGTTTTCACACTGACATGTGCAGCCTAAAACTATTGAGGAGAATATTTTTAGTGTCTGCGTGCTCTGTGGAAAAACACTGAACGTCCTTTTTATGTACAGAGTAAATCTGCCACAGGAAGGTAGATTTAAGCCTTGAGCAGGAGTCCTCGCTGCATACGGTCAGTCAACATAGCTGGACAACTTTTTCTATAGCTTTTTTCCCCTTTTTTTTTTTTTCGTTTTTTGATGCTAGACCACTGCCATACAAAGATCCATAACTTATCTTAACAAGATACGCTTTGGCTTGCAAACTTACGAGAGAAGTGGTGATACAGATCATATATATTTATAGCCGTTATTTTAAAAAAGAGTAACAACTTCACCTTCAGAGCTGCATTCAACTATGGTGCGCGGGTAAGTAAGTAAAACCCTTTTGCCCTTGCAGAGGAACATATAGCCCAGGCCTGTGGCTAATGGTATTGTCCTGGGTGGAAAGATCCCAATGGTCGTCTGAAAGCGGTGGCGATCTCCTTCTCCTCAGAAACATCTAACAGTGCCTCTGAAACGTCTGTTCTCAGGGAGGGATTTGATTTCTCTTTCTGCACAAAGCTCTTGGTCCGTCCTCAGCCCTGGGTGGTTTGGTTTTTTATGCGGAGAAACGCTGTGGATCCATTGCAGGCGTTACGTGGCTGTTAACTTGAAAGCACCAAAAAAAATAAAAAATCTGCCTGTGAAACAGTAAGATGTTAGTGAGGTTGACGTTAAAAAAGGCGAGAAGGCGGTGGTGGTGGTGGTGGTAGGGATCCCTTACATGTTTTATCCGTCTAATTACAGAAGCTCGACAAAAACAGGCAACAAAATGGGAGGGGGTGTTTTTCACGACGGTGAGTCTTAATGGCGGATGTCTCACTAGAAAGCACTGTAAAATCCTTCATACCGAGAGGCAGTGACTTGGAGAGAGGGGGGGAAAAGGAGGTCTGGAAGTAAATCCAAAATGAGGGAGTTTCCTTCCAAGTGAGGGACCCTTTGCAGCCTGAGTGTTACAGATGGAGGAGCCGTGACGCAGTTGATATTCACAAGCAGTTGTGCTTTAGTGCCGCCACCCAGCCCACGAAATGGCCTCCCCGCCGAAGTCTGGTGGGTTTATTATGTGAGAGGCTGCGGCAGCACCGTGTCCCGGGCGGCGGGAGGGGCGGCCGGCGGGCGGGCACGGCGCTCCCGGTCGCGCTCCGTGCTGTGTGGGGACAGCCGCCATCATGGCTTCTCCTTCCCGTCGGCGTCCTCCTCAGCGCGGCGCGGCGGGCTCTCCCCCGCTGCCTGGCGGCGTCCCGAGCGCTGCAGGGAAATGGTGGGTTTGGGGTGGTTGTTGTTGTTGTTTGTTTGTTTTTTTCTTTTTTATCCTTTCTCTCCCCTTTCCCGCCCCCCCTCCCCTTCCCCCAGCGCTTTGTGAGGGGCTGTGGAAGGGAGCGGCGGCTCTTTCTCCCCGCGCACAACATGGCGGGAGCGCCCTGCGGCAGCGGCGCTGGCGGCGCTCCAGCCGGGCCGGGCGGGGGGGCGGCCGGCCGGGAGGACAAAGGCAGCTCCGATAAAGCCGGCGCAGCCCCGGTGCTATAAATAACGCTGCCCTTCCCCCGCCGCAGCCTCCCGCTCGCTTTATAAACAGCAAAAGATGGAAGTCGCCTAGCGCAGAGGGGAGGGAGGGGGGAGTTAAAGAGGAACAAACAGCGGCTCCCCACACGCAAAAAAATAAAATACGCACACAAAAAAGCCACCAAATTGAAAGCCTGGGCAGTGTGGGGGGACGGGGGGCAGCAGCAGCGCTGGCCACGGGAGGGGCCGGGCGGCGCCGCCGCCTCCCCGCCCGGAGCGGGTTTGCCGGGGGAGCGCGGCCGCCGCTCCCGTCACATGGCTCTTTGTTGTTCTCCTTCTCTGCCCCTCCTGGGCTGTTCCCCCCCCCGCTCCGCCATCGCCGAGCCGGGGCAGCCGCTGCCCTGCCTCCTCCGGCCTGCAGCGCCGAGCTCGCGGGCCCGGCTGTGCTGCAGTGGAGCCGCCATGGCCCGCCGAGGTGTTACATGTGCCGTCTTTTTTTTTTTTTTTTTTTCTTTGCCTTTTTTTTTTTTTTTTTTTCCGTCTCCTGAGCAGATTCTGCTGCAGCTCAGCTTGGGTGGAGGCTGGGGGTTATCTCGGAGCTTCACAAGCCTCGCTGTGCTCTGCGGGGAGTTGCAGCTCGTGCTCACTGCAGACCCAGAGTAGGTGAGCCAGGAAAGCCTGGCTTGAGCAACCACTTCAGAGGGCAGGACAGGGAGGAAAAGCAAACACTGTAGAGAGGTGGCCTCCCTGGTAAGGCTAGAGCAGGACCGTCCTGCGGACCCTGAGGGAGGGAGAAGGTAAGTGGCTGCTTGGCAGAGGCTGCCTGCGGGAGCGGCATGTGCCGGGCAGGGCGCGCCCTGCCCGCAGTTCCTGCGTCTCAGAACCAGCCGCTCCGTGGGTTTGTACAGCCCGTGCTGTGGTATGTGCCGAGGCTCAGGGCTGTTCCCCTGCGAGGGAGAGCACTGGGTGCTGCCGCGAAGGAGGCACCGCAGCCCCGCGCCTTTCGCAACGACTGCGCTCATCGCTCCATTCCTCGCTCCCCCCCTCGCTCCTCACCGGGTCAGGCTCTGTCGAGAACAAGCGACAAACCGTCCGCACAAAACAGAACACGTTTCCATGGAGGGGGAAAAAAATACCAACAAAAACAACCAACAAAAGCGTTTCCGCAGTGCCAGGCTGGCTCTGAAGCGCTGGCTCTGAAGCGCTGGCTCTGAAGCGCTGCCTCAGCGCTGTGAGCCCCGTCGGGGGCTCCCGGGCCGGGGCCGCCCGAGCCGCTGGAGCCAGCGCTGAGCCTGGGTCACAGCGGCTCTCAGTGACCATCTGCCAGCAAAATCGGAAGGAACGGTGACGTTATTCTTAGCAGAACACCATTAAAATGCTCCTCTGGTATTTCTCAATAGAGGTGAAAAGCATTTCAGCTTCCTGGAAATGGCCGAAGCTGGCGACGTGTAGATCAAAGTACGGCGCAGAGCTGGGCTCGGCTTTGCAGGGGGGTTTGAACTGTAGTGAAAACGATTCTGCAGCTTGCATCGTAGTGAGTTAAGTCAGCACGTGAAGCGATTAAAAAGAAAGCAAGTTTTAAACGGCATCGGGCTATTAACTTTCCTGGGATTTAAAATTTATGTTTAAATATATATTTGGCTGTTAGCAATACCTGCATTTACGAGTAACATTGGTCTGTTTAACCCTGAAGCAAACCAGCTCTGCCTAACGCAAGGCTTTGAAGCGACACAGCCAGACCATAATACTGTGGGAGCTTAGACAGCTTTGTCTGTACTTGCATCTCTCTGCATATTTTTCCAGGACTCTGATCTTTGTCTGCGATTAATCATTGTCCAGGACGGCTGTTCCCGATGGTAGGATCCATGAAGTGCTCCAGCTGGGAGAGGTCCTAACGCCTGTGCCTGGCTCTGCGTACGTGCAAACCAGGGCCAGAAATTGCTGGGGCAGCGGGGGCTGGACAGCGAGCCCGCCGTGCCCCCCCAGTGAATTGTATGGGTCCTCAGCACTTCTGGAAATGGTTTTTGTAAGTCTGAGATGAAAATTTCTTTCCGTTTTTTAGAGTTTCTGAATGACTATAATGTTCAGTGTAGTTTAAAAGTCGCCAAGGCAGTTGAGACCGGTTGTGCTCTCAGAGTGGGTGGTTTCATGGCTGCTGAACCTCGTATCTGAAAAGCAAAATGTTCTGGTACAGTGTGTTTAAATCCCAGAAAGGTCAAACCAGACTTTCATACTTGGGTTAGACTGACCCTGGTGTGCTGCATGAGACTCTTTAGATAAAGAAAGAGATCTTTCAGGGAGAAGGAGAAAAAAAAAAGGTTTTTTTTCTCTGAACAGCTTGTGGTGACTCTGTGCACATTCTTGAAGCAAAGGGGTTTGTTCTTGCCCGCAGCGTCCCTCCCCGGCATTGTTGAGTGGAAAACTCTTATGCTAATTATATCGCTGTCTGTTATCAATAAGAAGTGATTTAATTTCTTTGGCAAAGTGTTGCAACAAGAGCAAATTAGATTGAGAGGCAAAGTGAAATAAAAAATATGCAGCTGTTCTGCTAAACAATGATCCTGACTGTTTACAACATTTTGTTTTAGACTGCCTTGTACACAGAATCCTTTATATTGAAGCTTTTCAAGTCACAATCCATTGCTTGTGCAAGGAAACTAGATTAACAGATTATAAAAGACAAAAGAGACCAAGGTTCATCTGGTTCAACTTCCTGCATTATGTACGTCTCGGGATTTTTGTGAATTTGTTGCTTTTTCTCATTTGAAAGAATTTAACTGCAGCATGCCTGCATCTTAGATAAAGGTCAGATTTTCGATTTAAAATGGGCTGTGAGAGGGAGTAAAATAAGAGTAAATTTTTTCCATCAAAATCTACCTGCCAGACTAGAAATCAAAGTACCTTTTCAAACTTGTCTAGTTTCTGTTTTCAGTTGCTGGATGTCTCTGCCCTTCAGTCTGCTTGGTGGAGGAATGCTCCATGGGCAGATTTTCATCCCTGTGTAGCTGTGCTCAGGCTGAGCATTTGATACTCCATTGCAGACTGCAGAGCTCCCCCTCGGGTCCGTCTTTACTAATCCTGGAATTGTTCCTGCCTGTGAACGCTACAGTTTGTCACCATTTTGATCTGGGCAGAAGGGGATGGAGCCCTCGGCAGAGATCAGACCCAAGCCAACAGCCCTCCTGGCTGAGCTGTCTCTGTCAGGAATCCAGGGATTACACCAGCCCATGTTCAGCTGGTTTCCCAGCACGGCTCCTAAAATACTCTCAGATCTGCTCCTTCTTAGGATGACAACCCTGTGCTGTAGGTTTGTGCTCTTTGTTCTGCATGTATGGCTTTACACTTGTTCCTCTTGAAAAGGACAAGCCCTTAACGTTCTTGCTTGCAATGGCTTTTTTTTTTTTTTAATTATTTTTCTTAATTACCCCCTCCTGCTACTGCAAAATGTCACCTACCAAGTTGGCTGGTCGTGATTTTGTATTTTCTCCAGATAAACAACTGGTTGTGTCTCCACTGTGGGTGTTTCCTGGTTCCGGGTGTGTGTACACACACCTGAGCCGTGTCAATATTGTGTCAGGAGGAGGTCTGGTTGTACAACATCCCTTGCCACACCCCAGTTTCATGGGAAGAAAGCCCAGCTTAGGAGCTGGAAGGGAGCCAGGAAGCACACTGCAACGTTTGCTTGCCGTGGTGTCTATTATGTAGCCATTAAATAACCTAAGGCCCAAAACAGGTGGTTGCAGACCCATAAAGGAGAGGTGACGCCTCTAGGACACGGTGGTTACAAAGTGCATTTTGAGACCTTCCTGTTAGATGGCTTTTTTTAGAGGTGGTGCCTCTACTATGTATTCTCTACTCAGCTGTTCGTTCAAGACCTAAATACATTTGAGACTCCTTCCCCACTGCCAAATTTGATTGAGATTAGAGGGGGGGAAATGACATAGAACTACACAGTCACATTAGGCAGTTTTATTTTTAGGAAACCCGGCTAAGAATATCGAAGGAATATTGAGTAGGAATATGGACATGGTATTTGCCTGTTCAGTTTTTCTTGCCGTGAAATTTTCCATTTCTTCCTGAGAACAGCAGATGATCTGTCTAGGGAATTGTCAACCAAAATAAGCAACCTCCTGACAGATTTCACCTGTGTCCCAGCATGCTCTGAGGGTACATGGGATGTGAGCCTTGAACAATGACAGGGAATCACTACTTGGCTGTGTTGTTTGGCTGCTGGGGTACAGAGATACGTGGTGATACCCAATAGTGGAACAAACATCTACTTTTTTTTTTGATGGACATGTTGGATATTTGCCAGAGATTTTTTTTTTTTGTTACTTTTTAAGCTAGATCTGTTCATTTTATACCTGTTAGTATTATGACAAAGCCACCTCTGTAAGGTAGGGAGTGAGTGCTTTCAGAGATCTAATCATTCTTGAGCTATAAAGGAATAAAGAAGCTGTTTCAACACCTGACTTGCAGAATGTTTTGTGTTGCTTCTTGCCCATTGAAATGCAGCTGCTATTGAAACACTGTGATCCCATCAGGATGTAGAACCGGTTATTTTTTAGAATGCTTTCAAGCTTATAAAAATCATGAAATAAATCAAGAAGGTTGGCAATTCTAATCAGCATTCTAAAGCCATCAAATCACAAAACAGTTCAGTGCTTCATGGCCTCTGAACAGTACAGTTTTACAAAAAAAAAAAAAAAGAAAAGGAATGAAAAGAATGTACCATTTAGAGAAGCTGGGCGCTTACAAAGCTTGCATCAAAAGGAAATGAAGATACAAATAAGTAATCTAAAAGGATATTTATGCATTAAATTACTTGTGTCTCTGGACACATCATTAAACAGTCTGGATGTGATGGTAGCTGGGGACCTGGAAGCCTTTTTAACACATGCAGCACATACAGGGAATGTTCTGATTACAAGTGATGGAGTATAAAACGTTTTAGCCAGAAACTGATGACAAAGATCAAATGGAATGAGTTGAGCTTACAAATCAGAGCAGTTTCTTCTCGCTGGTGTGATGTGACACAAGACCAAGACTGTTTTGTCCTTGACATTGTCACCATTGCTCTCTAACCTGCAGTTAAGGATTTGCATCTTGATTTATTGTCTGACAGGGCAGTTGGGAGTGCCCCAGCTGCTCCCCAAGCCCTGGTTTGCAGCAGAGTGGGCCAGAACGGGCAGGATCAGGGAAGGTGTGCCATCCATCGCCTTTCTGTGCCGCTGCACCACGGCAGCTCCCAGTTGCTAAGCAGCTGCAGAGCTGTCTCTGTACAAGGGGAGCAACATGGGTTCCCCTTGATCAGTGGAGAGGAGCCGGCAGCATGGAAACGGGAGCAGTGACCATAGGAACATCATTCCTTTCCTGGCTGGCTCCGATGCCGAGTGGAGCGAAGGGACACTCGGTGGCCCAGGAGCAGGGGGGGGCAGTAGGGGAGGGCAGAGCCAGCATATGTGCACAGCAGAGGTTACAAAGACAGCAGATCCTGGCAGAGCAGGGGGCACACACCAAGGAGAAAGGAATGGGAGAGAGGCCAAATGCACAGTTCGGAATAAAAAAACCCCAGGAGGAGAGTGTGGCATATGGAGAGGGGAAATAAAGCAGAACTTGCACAGCCTGCGAATAATTGAATAGAAAATACAGGAAGAGGGAAGGAGCTTGATTCATTACTGCCCTTCATCTTGTGGAGACAGCTACACCCGGGAAGAGGAGGTGTGGAATACAACGGCATCCTTCATGTTTCACAGTGAACTGTAGGTTTTACATTTCAACCCCTGCCATTTGTGGTTTTCTCCTTTCACAGCCCCTGCCTTTTGTTCAGACTTGATTCCTGCAGGCTCCATTCTTATCTTTGTCTACTTTCTGATTTATTTTTGTACTTGCTTTAGTTTTTTTGGGGGAGTTGTTTTTTTTTTTAAGGTAAGTTTTAAATTAAGATACCCTTTCCAGATATTTTTGCTATTTTCACCTTCATGAGGGCAGGCCATTGCTAACTCCTAACTGAAGCTGGTTTCTACTAAATCCACAAAGCCATCGCTGCTTTTCTCCCCCTCTCTCTCCTGGGAGCTGCTGATGGAGAACAGGGTTCTCTTTGCTTCCCGACACCTTCCCCTGCTCGTTGTCTTTCCCTTTCCCTGCTCAGTGCCTGCCAGCAGTCCGGAAAGGCTCGTGGCTCGCAGCGCGCAGGAAGCGGTTCCTGTGGCAGTAAATTATCACGAACGCCTGACGTGTTGCATAAAGGGGAGTACAAAAGTGTCACGAACATCTGGGGGGGGGGTTGTGACCAAAGGAGAGCCTTGGTTCCACCACGGCCCCGCTGCCCACATGAAAAAGCACTTTGTGGTGTCGGCTCCTCACATGCAATTGGTGTGTAATAGGAAATGCCAGTGGAGCTGGCAGGGAGGAAGGGGAGCTGGACATTCCTCCCTCTGGCTCCTCCAGGCAGAGGACTGAGGGGCGTGTTTGGGAGGGTGGGGAGAGGAATTTAAATTCCCGCAGCTGTTGCTCTCCTCTATGACCAGCCCTGGCTTGCTTGGAGGCCTTTTGACTGAGAACACTTTTCCCCAGGTCCAAAATTGAGTCCTAAAAGGAAAATGGAGGTGCCCACCCAGATCTACAGTGGAAAGGAGTTGCTGTGAGCTCTGTGTGTGTGTGTGTGAAATTCAAGCCAATAAAATACTTGACAAATACACAGCCAGATGTGCTTTGTACTTGGAAGATTTTTGTCTAAGATGTCTGATTCGGGGGAATGTTATATTTACTTCCTTCTTCCATTTGCCTGGAGCCTTTATCTTTGAACAGGCACTATCTATACTATTGTTAGACTCTCAAGACCATTAAAGGTCTTTGGGCACTGACATTTTACAAGCAGATTCAGCTGCCTTTCACACGGGGGCAATTTTTAGCATTATGAGAGATGTAAGTTTAATTAGAACAGTTTTAACCAGGAAATCTCCCTGCCTTAAGAAATCAGAGCTACTGTGTTAATCCCAGCAGGCAACTGGGAACTTGACAAAGTGCCTGTTGTTAGGATGAGAGTCAGGAAGGGTGAAATGTGTGTAGGAAGGGAGAAACGCACAGGAAATGTGCCATCAAGGACAGCGGTGTGGAGCTGTGCAGGGCAGGGTGCCAGACACGTGGGCTGGAGCAGCACTGTCAGGTTGCTGCTCTCTCTGTTCCTGCCCTCACCACCCCAAACCACTGCTGTGATTGCTCCAACACCTCCCTGACCTGCTCTGGTGGCTCACAGTGAGGACATCCAGCCAGGCCACTCTGCACGGTCAGCCTGTCCAGCTCCCACAACTCGGGCACAGGCCAAAAATCGCAGCTCTAAAGCAAACATGACACAGTTACAACCATTTCCAGTGCCTCTAGTTATTAATTAGCCTGCTCTGAACATCGCTCTTCCTGTGCAGGCTTTGCTCTGGCCGGGTTATGGCTGCTCTCAGGTCTGAGAGAAACTCAGTCTGGGCCTGTCCTTTGCCTGGCAATGCTCTGACAAGCCACAAGTCTCTCTGGCTCCTGCCAAAACTCCATCTCAAGGTGTGAGCTGCTTCCCAGACAGATAACAGCAGAGCAAGCTTAGCTTAGCTCTCCCCATACATCTAGCACTCCACAAAAAACAGGCAGAAATTATGGTGTGTCCTAGTGGGATAGAAAGAGAGGATTTTATCATCCCTTCAGTCTGCCCTTGCTGCCTTCCCGTGGGAAGTTTGCACAAATATCAAGGGGAGGACGCACACTTCATATGTTAACTGCCTTTTAATGTCAGTGCCATGCACTACTCAGCAAAAACCTGCCCCTATTTCATCCACAGTCCTTTTGCCATCTTTTTTGCTCCTCCCATGAATATTCCCAGTTTCCCCACATTCTTGTCCAAAACATTTGAGAGCAGGTGCAAGAGTGATGGCTATTGCATAGCCAGTGCAGGAACGAGGTGTTGATCAAAGCCTGACTCTTCCAATGGCTCTGAAAAACACACACTTGCTCAGGCTGCACTGTGACTCACATGGCAGAAAGCATATTTAGGAAGCCAAGCCTGGGTTCACTTGAACTTGATGTTCTCAAAGCCTTACAAAGAAAGTACAACTCCACATGTTTCAGGTTTAGTGGAATTCTCCAGCTGATCTTTGGGGAGTGTAACCCAGATTTGGCCATCCACAGTTGACTCACCTACTCCATATTAATCCCTGCTGTGTAAATTAAAGAAGCTGAATGCAACTCCTGCCCTGGTGCTGTCGTCATCTTTATTAACATACAGTCCTCTTGGATTCAGTCCTCCCTTGACTCTGAACCAGCAAGAATATTAAAAGAAAATCTCTCTCTACAAGGAATTACATAATTTGGGAATGAAGAAGAAGGGCAAAGTGATCTGAAGAAAGCAGATACTGTGGAGAACGCTCTAATTTTGAAAAAATAACATTTCAGTGCTTGCTGGGTCAGGTGGAGCGCTGGGTAATGAAAACACGGGAAGGCATAAGCCAGAGGGATTTTAGGGGTGTACACTAAAGGGAGCGGTCGGATACTGGGTAAGAATGCATTGTGTTGCAACATCCTCTTTCCCTAAATTTCCCAAAATTACTTCCTGATGGGATTTATTCTCTGCTGCAGGTCTGGATGCAGAAGAGCATCCAGTGGTGACTGATTTCATGCAGATCTGTAGCAGAGCCCTGTGCTCTCTCTGAGCCACGAGCAAGGCTGTGTCTCGCCCCTGAACCCGCTGCCTCTGCCTGTTCCCATGGTAAAACCAACCCCAGCTGCCAACGCAAACACAGCTGCAGATCTCACCTGAGAGAAGGCGTTTTGAATCCCTCTGTCAAACCTCCAGATTCAGTTCTCAGCACAGAGGATGAGATCCAGCATCTCTGCAATGGCTCTGCCAGCCCGTGTTGTCAAATTCCTCCCCATGGCTCAGGGAAGCTGTGCCAGCACATCTGGGAGACACACATTGCCCAGCTCGGCGGGGGCAGAGCCATGGAGGTGTTGGCAGGCACTGGTGTGTTCATTTCGTGCTTTTCAGAGATCAGTCATTGTGCTTGATGTTCCAGAAAAGCATGGGATGATCTTAACCTTGTGTTACCCATTTTTCACAACAGAATTTGGCTTGAGAGTTCACACTTTAGTGAGCAACAGAAACTTGAAACTGCCCCTAAGCCCCTGCAGCATCAGGCCAAGGCTTTACCACATTGATTTGCACCCACTTCACTTTGTAAAGTGGGGTGGTTTTTTTCCCCCACAGCTGCAAAGCCAAGAACTCAGTTTCAAATGAAAGGTGAGATTCTAAATGCAGCATGTTGGCCATGCCTGTATCATGTAGGCCATGTTTGGCCCACATAGTTGGCACCTCTGATTTAAAGCATACCAGAGAAAACAACCCAAGAAACAGTCTGTGTTCCTTATAAATAGCTGCTCTCTAGGTAGTCATCAGTGTGTGGTTTATGAATAAAATCTGTCCAAACTACATCAAAGTGCCTGAATATTCACTGCCTGATTTTGCTGAGTTGTGTGTCTTAATTCAGCTCACACCTCCCTTTGCAGACCCTTGTCCTGTTCTGTTTCACAGCCCTCTGAACTCTCTGGTAGCATTTGGACAGATTTTATTTAGTGTATTGAAAAATTTTTGCACTGATTTAGTGCACAGGCTACTTGAGCCAAGTGAAACAGGAACTATTTCTGAGGCATAAAAAGGCAGAAAGGAAATTTTCTTATTGAAATATCATTTTTCCATATTACTTAATAGTCTAGAAAGTTAATGCCTTTCTGGCAGCACTTCCCACTGGGAAAAAAATATGGTTCCTACTCAGCCAAACAACAATGTAATAATGTTTTAGGTTGGGTTAAATGTCTTAGAAACTGGCAGGTGTCACAGCCACCTTGCCTTCAGTGAAAAAAGCAATTGAGAGCCCTTATAAACAAGGGATTTACATCAGTAGGGGCTACTACACAAAAAAAACCCAGGCACATGGCAAGGTTTGAATAGATGGTGAATCATGTGGCCCAAGGGATTTTTCGGGGTGGGGGCGTGTGTGTAAAATATCAGGCCGTGAGGACCAGATGGCAGAGCTCTGCATGTGCGAGAGAAACAGCAAGAAACTGCAGAAATGGAGACAGAGAAGCAGCTGAAAGTGAAGGAGACTGGGAGCTTGAAAACTGTATTTCCAGGGTTTACTGAGGGTCAAAGCAGTGCTGGCGCTGCGAGGAAAAGCACAGCTGAAAAACAATTTTGTACATTTGTTCTGTAAACAAAGTGAATCACCTTGAGTGTACACCTGCTGTGTCATGGCCTTCTCTTACACTGATACTGTCACCATAACTTTGTGTGTGCAGCTGCAGTTCAGCTCTCCCACATTACAGTTTCCCCTTCCCTCTCTGCCCTGCCCAGTCTAAATCCTGTGGGGCAGAGACTGTCCCTCAATAAGGGTCTGTGCACATGACAAACAATTGCCAGCCTTGTGCAACATCTGAAATTTATCACTCTACTTACATGGTAAGTCCCATTCCTTAGGGTCTGTCTTTCCTACTGTAAATTTTTCAAGGCGTTGCCTCTTGCTCTTTGTGTACATGCTGCAGTGGGAATTCTTAGCTGAAAACACAAATAATTAGTATCACTGGTAATGTTAAAAAATAAATATTTCAGGCTCTGTCTTGTTATTTACATTCTTAACTAAGTTTATGAATATTTCCTTGTTCTTCTTGTCAAGTTTATGTTGAGGTCTTTGTGACTGGGGTCTGTGTTATCAAGAAAAAATTAAGTGTATTTCAAAAACATAGTTCTAAAGATATTTAGGAAGAACAGGTGCCCATTCTTGTCCAGTTTATATGGCCAAATAAGAGTATGCAGGAGATGGCACGTGCAAACCCCTCTCTGCAACTGTGGCTACAAAAACTACCGTAAGTGAGACCTTGCTGGTGAGCTAAAATACTTGTGTTTTGCATTAGAAATATTACTGCAAACCATGCTGCTTAGCCTAAGGGCTTGCACTGTGCTAGAGCTTAATTGATTGGAAACTTAAAACTTTTACAGTATTCAGAGTTCCTCTAAACAGAAGGATGTAGCTAACCAGAATATTTTGCCAATATTTATTATTTAACGTATTTGTTGTTAAGATATTTATAATTTAAAAGTATTTTTTGAGCAGAAAGGCTTACATTTATGATTCTGCTCCCTCACTTGACTCTCTGTAGTCACAAAACTCATGAGCTTTTAGTATTATTAAGTCTCAGTTTCCTCCACTTCTTCAAGCACATCACAAGGGACAAAGAAGGAGGCAGCACAGGGCATTGGTGCTGTTTCCTTATGTCAGACTAAGGGCATGGCTGAGGTTCTTCCATGGTACCAGAATGGTCCAGGAGGTTGCAAGCTCTTTTTCCCCAGGCTTGGTACTTTGAAAAATGGGATTATCAACTTCTTTGATCGCCCTGTTTTGTAAAAAAGCTTCAATATTAAACCTAATCTGTGAGTCTTTTTTGGGTGTTCTCATAACTAACCTGAACTACCCATCAATACCATCTAAAAAAATCTTGAAAATCATGAACTCCCAGCAGTTTTCCTAAGCTGTGTGCTAACCTTTCACTCCTTCCTAATTTTTTCCTTGGCAATCATCAAGCAACAAATTGGTACCAAGATCGGAACACGGATATTTGCCATACCCCATTAAAGCCTTGATTTTGTTGTGCTCTCTGTGAATCTCCACACACCCATACTGTGTAAGGTTTTGATGAAACAACTTGTGCCAAAATCAATATACAGGCCAAAACAGAAGTAGGAGAAGGACACTTGCAATTAATAATGATTAGATTTGAGTTTTACTAATAGGAGGCTGAATCTCCTTCCATTTAAATCAGTGGCACAGCTCCTAATTAGACTTTGCTTTTTCGGAGTCAGCAAATTACGTGTAGCTTTTGCACAGGACTTGATATACCCAAAGCACTGCACACTTGATAATTAAAAATAAGTAACTGAGACACTGAAATGTTATATTTCATCATTAAGAAGTTGACTTGTTACAAATACTTATCCATTACTTAAAAACAGTCTTTGGAGTGTTTACAGTTGATTTTATCATCTGCTCATTTTATATTGTTTCCTGCTGAATCTAAATGTGTACAGATCTCAAAGTTTCCTTAACAATAAAATGGAAAAGGAAACAAAGCTGTGAGAAATGTAAAGATTGTTTTGTGAGACTTGAGAAAAAAAAAAAAGCACCCGAACTCAAAAAAAGCCTAACAATGGCCCTCAAATTACTTTTATCCCCCAAAAAAACCTTTTATTGCAATAATGGACTTGAAAAAAACCAACCCTGAATTACACTCCTCAGTTACAGAAAGACTACTAACTCTATCTGCTGATTGTGTCATACATAACGTGTTGCTGGTTTTGAGCCGGGTCCAAATAAATCATTTCAGGACAAAACAAATTTTTCCTGGCCCATCCATTCCTGTGCCGTCAAAAAGCCCTCAGCCATTACAGCCGACAGGAGCTGATGGCTTTTACTGTGTTCCATACAAGATTTATAACACTGTGGTCCATAAAGCATCTTTTTGACAGATCCTACATGATTGCATCAACTTTTTCCTCAGTAAAATGGTGAGTTTTAAATGGGTGTGGCTTTGACTGCCTTTTTATTATTGTAATTTGAATTATATGACACTTTGTTGGGTATTTACGGGTCGCTTCTTTTCTCTGTTGCCGAAATATCCTTTTCTAGCTTTTTGTTTGCCCTCTGCACAAAGCAGGGGCTCCCTTGCCCGAGCTGCGGAGCGCGGTGGTGTTTGCATTGGGTCTGGAAGGCCATCTAGTGACACAACCGTGCAGGGGAAATGCAAAACCCTGTTCGAATTGTGTTGGGTTTTTTTTTTTTTCCTTAGTTGAATTAAACGGTCTTGCCACACTCGAGTAATGCCCTTGGGGGGTTGTTGCTATTCCCACAAGTGGTATTTCAAAAAAATTTAGAGAGAATTTTGATTTCTTAAGAACTGACAGGGTTCGTTTGAGATGGAGCAGCACACTGTGAATCCCTGCTTGGAAAGAAACACAAATTTTTGTGTGCAGAATGGTGGTGGACTCATGTCTGAGCTGGTCTGTCACAAATCCAGTGTCACTCCCCTGACCTGTGTATTGGAGCCAAACATATCCAGGGGTTCTGATCCCCTTCCAGAGCCAAACTTACCCAGCTGTTGTGATCCCTGGCTTTCCACGGTACAAACCCCACCATGTGGGTGCCTGGGGCCACCACATCTCTGCAATTAAAATGTGAAATTCCAGTTATTTTCATCGCAGCTCACCTTGGATGGTGAGAAGGTGATGAGCAGATGATGAGCAGAGCTGTCAGCTCCTACATGAGCAATAAATACCGCAGAAAACAAGCAGTGAGTCACTGCCAGCACCAAGGCCCCTTTCAGAGGGTACCTCGGGGGTCTCTGTCCCCCCCCAGAGTGGCTGGCACCCATCTCCCCTCGGCCTTGGGGACTGGACAGATATCGGGGCTGGACTGGCAGCATCCCCTCAGCGCTGGCTGCGGATGGCAGGGCAGAGGGGGACAGGGGCCTCGGGCGCTCTCTGAGGGTACAGGGTGGGAGCAGCCCCGGTGGGTCTGGGGGAGGCGGTACCGAGGGGGCTCCAGAGCTGTCTCACCGGGGCCATGCCCGTGGTGATCCCTCACGCCTGAGGGCGGCTCCGGACGGGCGGGGGGGGGGACTCGGGGCCCCGGGAGAGGCCCCGGGAGAGGCCCCACAGGCGCCCCGGGGGGACCCGGGCGGGGCCCGGCGGCACCTGAGGCGGCGGCGGCGGCCAATCCCCGCTGGGGCGCGGGCGGCTCTGCCCGCCCCGGGCGCTGAGGGCCGAGAGGAGCCGCGTCCCGGCCGCGCCGTGCCCGCTCCCCGTCCCGCTCCCGCTCCATGGAAGCGGCCAACGGGGCCGTGCCCGAGGGCGCGGCGGGGGAGCCCCGCGGCAGCGCGGCCGCCCCGTCGGGCAGGAAGGAGGTGAAGGTGGTGATCGTGGGGGACGGGGGCTGCGGGAAGACATCGCTGCTCATGGTGTACGCCAAGGGCTCCTTCCCCGAGGTGAGGGGCGGCCACCCCCGCGGGGCTGGGGGGCCGCGGCCGGCCCCAGCCCCTGGAGCCCGCCAGAACCGCTCCTCAGAGCCACAGGATCAGTGAGGTTGGAAAAGGTCTCTGAGATCATCGCGATCCTTCTCCCTTTGCAGCAATACGCGCCCTCCGTCTTCGAGAAGTACACGACGAGCGTGACGGTGGGGAAGAAGGAGGTGACTCTGAACCTGTACGACACCGCAGGTAAGGGGCTTTCACCTTGTGCCTTCCATTTCCCCGGTCCCAGTCGGGCTGTCGGGGCGGTTCCTCTGCGGCCCTGGGATGGGACCGCGCCGGGGCACCGGCCTGGGACTGAGCCCAAACCCGGCCCCGGCCTTTCGTAACTTCAGGCAAATGACCAGAAACTGCGTTTATTGCTGTAAAATGCTGCTCTGGTGAGTGTGCCCCCATTTCTTTTCTTCTTCCTCTCCAGAAGATTTTGCTGTGTCGACTTAAACCAAACCAATATTTAAAGATTGTAAAGCTGGACAGATTTTCAGATTGCTTCTCTGCGAGCGTACTTTTAACATAATATCACAGTTTAGACTGCTGGAGATTAAAGTACAAATGAAACAACCACCGTTACCTGTTGCAAACAAAAATGTGCCTTACAGAAAAAAAAAGGGTCACTTATCTAATGACAGATCTGGTCATGGACTTGTTCATTATCTTAACAACTCAGTTGATTCAGAAACACACACCAAATAGCAAACATATCTGGCGGTATTAAAACCCAGTTCCCACATGCAAAGCATAATACAATCAACCAGGAAAATATTTTAATCTGCTGTGATTGAATAGGGAAGGAGAAAAAGGGTGGTTTGTGTTCAAAATAAAAAGGCCATGGCAGTAAAAGTTATTTGAAAATGCTGATAGTCTGTTCAGGTTCATTTGAGGAACTTGTGAAATGGTTTGTGTTCAACTTCACTCAAAGTTCCCAGACTCTGTTATCCAGTTGCACTCCTAAATGAACCCTAAAATTGACACGTGCTCTGTTTCAGCTCAGTGTAAATCATCTGTTTCAGTTCAAGCCTGTGGGGTTGTTCCAAATTTACACCAAGACAAATAAGAACCGAATGCAGTCCAGTCAATTTAATAGCAGTAAAACGCACTTGCTGTCTTATATACTGCATGTGGTATCTGAAAAGATAATTTTAAAGGCTTTTAATCAAGAAGTGAATTTTATTGCTAATTTTTACTACAGGACAGTAAGATGCTGAGCACCCAATTTGCTGTTGTATCTTCTTGTGTCAACATTACTGTTCTCGAGTGCAGTAGCTTCTACTGAATAGCCAGAGGTTTGTATTTGTCCTAAAGGAAAAGAGAAGGGCTGAAAATCTGGTGTGAGCAACCAAAGAGGGATTTCTTTAATACAGTGTGTTGACACAAAGAACTTCTCGAGTTTTGTTTGCTGTCGGTGTGGAGTGTTTGCCTGTCACACAGTTCCTAGCTCTCATTTAAAATCACCATGCTGCAAATTCCAACATTTGCCTTTGGAGCTGGATCTGGAGATGGCAGTAGGTAGGGCAGGTCCAGGATTGCAGCACTAAACTCTCTCCTGACCTACATGCCCGCTCCTTGCATCACACAGAGCCCAGCTCTGCGCAAGACCTGCAGCCACCAGCAGCCCGGGGAACGCTCCCTGAGCCTGGTGCTGGTGGCTTATCACAGAATCAGGACAGTTTGGGTGGAAAGAGACCTTTAAAGGTCATCTAATCCAACCCCCTTGCAATGGACAAGGACATCTTTATCTAGATCAGGTTGCTCAGAGCCCCGTCCAACCTGACCTTGAGTGTTTCCAGGGATGGGGCAGCCTGTGCCTCATTGTAAAAATTCTTCTTTATATCTACTGTAAATCTATCCTCTGTTAGTTTAAAACCATTACCTCACGTCCTATAATTTCCCTGTTCATGCACGTAACCAGCAGACAGTGTGTACCTTCCACATTTAGTTCATAGCTCTAAAAATTGTCTTGGACCAAAGCACTGCCCCGTTGGAGAACAGAGAGGTGTATTTTGTGTCTCGTGGGACACTTTGGGAAGTGGAGCTGCCACTGTTGCCATGAAAGAGCAATTGCTTTCCGTTTCTCACTTGGAAACCTTGAAACCCAACATGTTTCACCTCCCAAAACGGCATCGTGGCCACAAGGCTACAAGTTTCTAGAGGCTGCTGACACTTGTCTCCTCCCTTCCTGTTAAATTTCTTTCGCTTTTCATGAGGCACAGCAAGATGATTAGGTGCAAAGAAAGCAGGGAGATTGTCACCTTGGTTAAGGCATTTGATTGGGAGGGGGAAATTTGGTTCTGTTTCAAAGCTGTTTACATAGTTTTATGTTACATATCTGTGTCAGACTAATTCAAGCAGCTTTTCATCATCTTTCTGTAACTGGAAGTTATGCTGGAGGAAGGACTCACTTGAGCACACATTTCAATCCCATCCTGTTTTTAATAATACTAAACTGGTGTTGAGCTCCTTAAGGGTTTGACTAGGACCAAGAGTTGTGTCCTGTCCTCCAAGTTCAAATAGTGCAGTGAGAGAAGAGGAAAGGGAGGGGAAGGCAAAGCTGTTACTCTAAAAAGTAACACTGGATCTTCATGATTCCCCCACTGCAGAAAAGACTTCAGTATTTATAGGATCTTGCTCAGAGCAACACTAGATAGAGCTGTGTGTTCTTCAGCATCACGGGAAGGTAAAAGACGGGTTCAGCTCAGTTTAAAGTTAGAAGAGTTCTTTGTATTGTCAAGTCCTGTGCAGCTTGAGCCTTTGAGCTTGTCCTGCTTTCTGAAGGAGAAGGACACAAAAAAAGTACCTGAGAATCAAACATTTCAAGCTACTTTTTGTTGACGAGAATTTTGGTAACAAGTGAAGTGAAGGAATTAGTCTAAAATATCATAGACTAACAATTTTTGGCGAGACTTTTCTGCTGTGCTGCTCTGCCTTCCTCCTCAGGCACCTCTCGCTGTTGCAGGAAGTTGGTGGTACACATACGCAATGGGTAAAGGCTTTGTAATATCACTTGCCTTGTCTGCAAACAGGCTTTGCAGCTGCTTGTTCAGTTAAAAGTTTCCATTTTGAGCTGTGCTCCACAGAGGCAAAGGCACCGAGAGGCAAATGAACTCTGATTTTTACATACTAAGGGAGCAGTGTCGATGCTGTAGCTGCAGTTCAGACACAAGGCTCAGTTCCTGGTGCCACTCAGTGCAGGACTTTCTCACTTTTTTCATCGAGCTGTGCTGGGCTGGGAGAGGCTGGGGAGGAAGTAATGCCTCATCATTGTGGGTGCTCGCTCTGCCTGACAGGAAGCACAGGCAAAGCCTCCAGCGGGGTTTTTCAGGTCTGCGATGACAGATGCACGACAGTCTCAGGCCTTCAGAGGAATTCTAAAAGACAGTGAATGCAAGAATAAGTTTTCATAACTTTGAAAGGGAAGTCATGCCTGAATAGGAAAAAAAACCCAACTTTTTGATTGCAGTGTGCTCCTCCTGCCCTATCTGTCCTCTTCTGCTGGTTTTCTTCCTGTCAAGAATGTCTGTTTCCCAATTTTGTTTTTAAACTGAGTAGTGAAAAAGCATAGCTGGAAAAAAACATAGTAGGAAAACCTACTAACCGTGGCATTCCTGTGGAGCCTGTGGAATAACAAACCAAAGAGGACTGGGTGCATTTCTGTGTGCCTGTGAGGGCTCACCATTGCAGGGTTCCATGTGGGTCCTAATGAATGTGGGATAGTACAGACAATGCATGGCCATGTGTAGGAAGTGCTGGGCTGGGCTGGGCTGGGCTGGGCTGGGAGCAGGAGGTGACATTATTCCTGACCCTCCAGAGCTGGACAGCACTGTTGGACATTAGGGCAGCATATACTGGGCACTCCTGGCCTGTCAAGTCTTGACTTTGTCATTTACCCTCTCCTGGCAATGGATGCTGAGCTCCTTTATGGACTGAGCAACACACAGGCTGGCACTCCTTTGGTGTTGAATTGGCAAAGGGGTGAGGAAAAGCAGACAGAGGTGAACGTGCATGTGAGACCAAGACCTGTGGTTTCACTTCTCCTGCTCACTCTCACCCACCCCCTGAGCTCCCACCCCACTGCAGGGCCTGACTGCAGTGATGTGGGTTATGCAGCGTCTCCCAGAGGAATACAGGAGTGGGAGCTTTGAAAAGAATTAGCAAATTTTAGGTGAATTCAGGTAGGTGGATTTTTTTCTTTAAAAAAACCCAAAGTCTCTGATGCTACACTGAATTGACAAAGGCAGAGGAGTCACAGATGTGCTCACACATATGCAGATATTTAACCAACTCCTCCACAGCGTGTTTTTTGTCAATTGAGGAAAGAAAACAGGTACCTGTGTTTGAGGAAGCACACACAGGGGCTTTGCATATACATTCAGTTACTGCTTATTTTCAGCCCTGTTCCTTCTTTTTGAAATTATTCTAGCAGAAGGCCTAAATCTGTGCCAAATTAACTCTGACCACAGTCTGAGCAGCTTTAGAGAGAAAAAGTCTCCCAGGCCCTTTCTTGCATTTCATCAGCCGCACTTGAGGACAGGGGGTGAAAGGGATTGTTTTCAGTGAGAGGGATGTCTATGTTTAGGCACAGCTTGATCTGGGTCCCGTTACATCCTCAGAACTGAAGAGCTGCAACTGAGCTCTTAAAGAGCAGCTTCCTCTCCTTCCGTGTGAGCTGCAACCACCCAACTGTGACACAAGGGAAGCAATTGCCACCTCACCTTCCCCCTCTGGTCCCTGCACTCTGCCTTGTTCTGTGCTCTGTGTCCAACAGTCCAAATGCACATGGAGGTGTGTTTTGTACAGCAGCATTTTCTCACGCATTTGTTGTCTCAGTTTGCTTTATAACCCCCATAACTGCACAGCTGCATTTGAAGGTGGAGGAGCAGTTCACCAGGGCATATCTATAGTTTTTGACTTGCAAGACAACATAAATCACATCACTGAAGATGCTTTTTCAGCTATCCCATCCAGGAGAGTATGAATTTAGCTGTGTGTTCTGATTCCAAGCAAATGAGTGTGTTTCTCCCAAGGGGACAATCCTGTCCGCCTCACAAATTGCCAACAACAACTTGGAGGACCTTTTGATTTTATAAGCTACATTGCTGAAAGCTGAGAGGCCTGAACTTGAACAGGGACAACCATACACAACACTAGAGGAAGTTAGGAGGGGAAAAAAAGTTTGGCGCATGATGTGTTTAATGCATTTAGAGGATTATCTCGGCAGTAAAATGGTAAATCGGTTGCAAACAAGTAGGTGGATTGGGAGAATAAGAAGGGATAAGCAGTATGGTCTTTGCTCTGTTTATACAACATGCATAATTTTGTCAATTATTTCTGGATTAAACCTTGAGGAATCAAACCCTCTTTGTTCCGCACCTCTCCATGGAACACACTGCTCTTGCAGAAGCTCAAATACAAAGTGGTCCAAACCCAAGATTCCCATTTCACAAACATCTCAGGAAAACTGAGTAACGGCTTATCCAGCAGGAATTGCCTTGGAATAATCTGCATCTCAACTGATCATTCAAATTAAGGAAAGGAGAAAAATATTGTGGAATTATCGGCCTTCTGATATCTGCAGTTCTTCAGACTGGAGACAAACATGTTGGTAGTGATGAGTGACTTGGGACTGAGCCGGCTGCCAGGGCAGGAATCGTTGCTGTAAAGTTGAGGCACACTGAAATTTTCCACATCCCTTCATTTGAAATATCAGTATGAAGATTTAAGATGTGTAACTTCCCTGTAGGGCAGTTTCTTGGCTGTGTGTGGATTGTGGTGATCGTGGGAAGGAACAGCATTCCCAGTTCTCCTTTTGGAAATTCAGTACATCACAGAGACATACCTGAATCCAACAGCAGCATTCAGGTGGCAAATACATCTTCTTACAGACTTTCTTCCTCATTAAATGAAAAAGATTGGGGTTTCCCCCTGAGCCGCCAACCATATCTGGGAATTACTGCTTTCCAGAACTTAATCTCTCAAAGCAAGACACCTCCAGACCCCGGCACAGTGATTATTGCACATTCATATGTACAGCAAGGGGAAGAGCACAGGTCTGAAGCAAATCAGCTTCCTCTTGTCACATCACATGCTAGAATATCCCTAATCAGAAGTATGGCAAATCCCCCTGCTTTTCCAGACTTCAGCAGAATTCCTTAAGATCTGCTGGGGAGTCCTGCTTCAAAGGCCAGCTAAGCCTGGCTTATGCTGCAGCATGGCTTGTACAAGCATGGCTCGTACAACCCTGTGCGTGCTGCTGCAGCTGAAGGCACCATGTGTAATCTCTGCTTCCTCTCATCCCACCAGGCTGGGAAAAGCAGGTTTGCCACTTTTTTCTGCTTCAGCATTTGTGTCTAGCAAATACAGTGTTTCTTCTCCTCACAGCATCACATGTACAAGTGTATTTGGGAGAATGCAGCAGCCACTGCCACACTGCAAATGTTTTAATCAATAACCGTCAGATTCCTCTTGATGATTTTGCTTTTGAGCAGCAACTTGGCAATCAGTGGTTAGAACTGCTTCTAAGTCCTTAGCAGGTGGATAAAGCAGGCTTTTTATTAAAACCTCTGCAGGTTTAATATTACTGTTATGTGTTTTATATTGTAAACCATCAGCTTTGTCATTGAAGGGGAAGCTCCTGTACTTAAGGGAAGGAATTTTACAAGTATGAAAAACTTGCAGTCTGTACAATTATAGTGTCATTGTTCTTGGTCTCAAGTATGTGTCTGTGCATATTCCCATCATACTGCTGGTTCAGGACAGAGATTTCTTTTATCCAAACCATTCTCTGTGTCTCAGGGCAGGAGGACTACGATCGGCTGCGACCTCTTTCTTACCAGAACACAAATGTCGTGTTAATTTGTTACGATGTCATGAACCCCACTAGCTATGACAATGTAGCAGCCAAGGTAAGAGCCTCTCCTAATTGCTTCAGCCTTCTAAATGAATTACAGACGCCTGATATATGACAAGATGTCAGATTAAAAATGCTGATGCTTTTAATGTCCTGTACCCTGGGTGTGTAGATGCACAGATCACTCATGGTGTGCTGAGCTGCAGGTCACAGACCTTAGACCTGGAACTCAGCTCTCCACGGCTCAAAAGTGCTCAGAACTGGGGTTGAGACACACTAAAAAGATCAAAGAGCAGTGGTGAAATCACTGCTTTATCTGTAGTGATGTCAAACGACCAACAGTGCACATGAGCATTTGAGAGTCAAGTCTACTTCCATCACATGCATATTTAACACAGGAGAGAGATGAGAGCAACCAATTGTACCTACTGGGATTTCTGTAATGCTTCAAAGCAAAACTTAGTGCTCTTGTACACAGTACCAGCAAAACAAAGCAAGACTTGGTCCAAATTCTGTTTTAAATATGACTTTAGAGGATCTCATCTGAATTTAAACAGATGTTAAATAAGCATTTTGGCCTAGTGACAGATGCCACTGTGTTTTTATACAGCAGCTGACTTTGGGTAGGACTTGTAAACATTTCTGTAATGTAAACAGAGCATGTTGGGCCCCCACCACTGGATAAACCACTCCAAAACTCTGAAATTGCAGCTTATGTTAAATGCTGGTTCTGCTCTTCGGCTTTATTGTTTTGATTTCAGGAAACAAAACCAAAGCCAGATGTAAAAGTTTTGTTTCTCTACCACCAGTGGTACCCTGAAGTGAATCACTTCTGCCGAGGGGTCCCGCTCGTGCTCATCGGCTGCAAGACGGACCTTCGGAAGGACAAGGAGCAGCTGCGCAAGCTCAGGGCTTCCAAGCAGGAACCCATCACTTACAGCCAGGTAAATGCAGGGCTACTTAAAGGGGTGGCCCCTTAGCAGGAGGTAAAGCACACACAGTAGCACTGCTCCTCACGAGGACGGTCCCAGACACTCCAAAATTAGGTGATTGCAATGTCCAGCTAAAGAAATGACTGGCAGCCAGCACTAACAGGGGTTTCTGTAAGTCCTTCTTGGAAGTGGCCAAATCACCATTTTGACTGCAAAAGTAAAGAGAAATAAGAGCATTTTGCATATTGTGGGGTGTCTGAAAGGACACTACTATCTACATATTTTATTCTCTTTACGTGTCGTTCTTATTTCCTTTCCCAGCTGGGTTATTACTGTTACAAATTTGTAAGCCTTAACAAGTTTGCTGGACTCCCTTCATAATTTTTATTAGCCTGCATTGCAGCCATCACTGGTGCTTTAATCAGGGTTGGGATAAAGACTGGAGATGGTAGAACACACATTACGAAATTAAATATACTGACTGTTCTGGAATAAATGTGGTTTGCAAACCCTATTTAAAAATAAATCCTTCCAAGGAAAATAGCAAGAACATCTGCAAGGCTTCTCTAACATGAGAGGCTTTTTTGAAGTCTCTAAAGCAATACTAAAACCCCTGCATATTATCAGATGTTTTTAAGTATTTTGAAGCAGTGAGACTAATAACTAATGTTACATCATTATAGCTATAGCTATAGTATAGCTCTCCTAGGTACAGGAGAAAGTGATGGAACAACTTGTCCCATGTCACACAAGACCTTTTTGCTCTGGTCTTCCACTTTTTCTTCTTTTTTTTTTGTTTTGTTTTTTAAAACTACAAAGCCATCCTTCTCCTTTCACCTCAGAGCAGCAGCTTTTGGACTGTTTGAGACACATGTCCAGGGAACAACGTCAAGAGCACTCCGACCTTGAATGAATCACCACTTTTGCTAAACAGCATGAAAATAAACTGCTAGTGCATCACCACAGAACCATGCTGGGCCTTTTAGTTTTGTCTCCCTTGCACACAAGATGAGATCCCACCCTGTCACTGTGAACAGCTGCACACTGTCCCTCATTTGCACGAATAACTCCCTCCACCACCCTCGCACGTGAGGCTCAGGGCAAACAACAGACACTTCTGGCAAGTCTGCTGAGGCTTCATGCAGTTAAATTCAAGGGCCCACCTGATGTACAGACTTTGCCTACTCTGTGAGCCCTCCCACTTGGTTTTTCTCCCCTGAAATATGCACTACCTCAGTCTTTTACAGCTGGTGGCATCTTGAGTCACAGGACATGATGCTTCCAAAGCCAGGCACAGAGGAGCTGAACAGTCTCTGCCAGCACTGCAGCTTGCAAACAACTGGAAGGAGACAAACTGCTTAAATATGAAGAAAATCCCCCTATAGAAGCCCAAGTGCTCAAGTGACTCCACTCCCAGGGCTTATAATGAATAAATGCACTTTGTGAGTCGTGGGTTGCAGACCTGGAATTCACAGTGAAAGGCTCACAAGCATTCAAACCTGGGAGCTGGCCCTGCACTGACAATAAAAGGATCACAAGCAAAGTAAGAAACTGCTGTGTTTTGTCTGTAGTGATTTCACACAGCCAGGATTGCATGGAAATGTTTTAGATTCGAGTCTGTTCCCATTGCATGCATTTGGGTGAGGCTGGGAAACACAGGCTCCCATTTGTGTACATGAGGAGTTTGGCTGAGCCCTTGTGATGCTTCAGAGCACAAGTCAAGGTTCCTGCACGTGCACCAGCAAAACAAGGCAAGGCACCAGTCCAGACTCTGTTCTTGCATGTGACATTCATTACTCAAGGTGACATCACAGAGTAGTTAAGGTCAGGCCTGAAAAAAAATATTGCCATGTAGACATCTTATCCTCACTTAAGTATCTACCTCAGCAATTAGTTTAAAGAAATTCAATACTGAGAATATTTTTGTGCTATCAGGACTCTGCATCTTAAGAGTCTCTAGTGCTCTGAACTCTCAGGCCAGGCTCTGGATCAGCATAGTGGAAAAACCCCAAGTTTATTTACAGTGCTTCAGTGTATTACTAATACCACTCACTCTGGCACTGCAGTCAGAGGCAGCTGCTTTCTTCCTGACCCTATGATACAAAGATGTGCAAAATAATTCCCCTTTCTCCCCATTTCACTTTCCTTCTCTCACCCACCAGATTCACATCTTTTCTTACCTTTTTTTTGTTCTTTCCAGGGAGAGGCAGCTTGTCAGGAGATTCACGCAGAGGTTTATCTGGAATGCTCAGCAAAATGCCGGGAAAACATAGAAAATGTTTTTAAAGAAGCAACAACCATTGCACTGAATGCCATGAAGAAAGCCAAGCGCCACAGGAAAAGGAAAGTGTGCTCAGTGTTATGATCTGGACTGCACAAGAGCCAAGTGATTCAGATTTTATAAATAGTTTAACCTTAAAGACCTTTTTTTTTCATTACATGTTTGTACTCCTAGAACAGTTTTTATTTTAAAATTTTAATTATTTTTAGTATTTTTGCACTTTTGTTACGTTGTTCTCAAAGTTTTCAAAGCTCTTTGTCACAGTTAACTGATGCTGTGTGCCTTTGCCCATCTGGCTTTTGCTTCTAACTGCAAACAACTCACTATTTAAATTGCAATGAACAGCAACCACTACTGTATGACTTAGTGGCTTTTTTATTTCTCTGCAAAATAATTGTGGCATGTTATAGCTACAATTTGCTGTCTTTTTCAAGCAGAAAAGCTGAAAACCCACATATTTTAGAAGTAGTGATATTTAAAGCAGTTTATCAGGCACCTTTGAAGAGACAGAAATTAAGTTTTGTCTTAACTATAACTGTACATTGTACAGATTTTGTGTAACTTTATCCTCTGCTTGTTACATGAGCAGCTGGTGAAAAATTCTCTTTTGGAGCAAGTTATCATTTTTGTTTTACATGCAGAGTAAAGAGATCTTGATCCTTGAAAAATCTTTTGTTTGTTCTTCTCTCAGCTCGCTTTGATTTAATTAAGGCTTGTGAGTCCCTATGAGCTTAAAATGGAAAATTAAAAGAAGTAATGCACACGTTTGACTATAGAAAAATCTTGAATTGTGCAGCCTTTTCTCCACAAGAAGACACTTGTCAGTAAAAGATACACAGCCACCCATCACCTTCCCCAGTACAAAACTGAAACACCAACGCACAGGAAGTGACCACATTTACCATCAGCTCAGTGGAAATCTCTCAGAGTTTTTACTCTGAGTTTCTCATGCTGCAGAACTCACGTTACTCACCCCTGCAGAACCAGCTCCACTGCTCAGATAGAGCAGGTTCCAGCATCACTCTCAAAATAAAGCAATTTACATTTCATAAACTGAGAGTTCAAAGGATTTAAAAACCTCACGGGGTGTGCAAAATTCAACATAACAAGATGCAGCCCAGCTGGTGTGAAAGTTGTTGAAAATATTCAAATTGCAATTCACTGCTCATGCCCACAGGCCAGTGACACGGCAAAGGCAATTCTGCTTCTTTGCAGCAACAGCACTGATGGAACCACTTCCATCTGTGCTGTGTCCCTGTTTCCTCATGAACACGTTTAGGGGAGGAGGGCACTGAGTTCAGACACTGCCCAAGGATGTGCCCAGTTTGGGCTTTGTGCTGGCTCAGAGGGAACCTTCCCCACTGAGGAAGACACAGCCTGAGGGAGCTCAGTGCTGCAGCTGGCTCAGGATGCACAGACATTACAGCACCCAAAATAAGGGTGTTTTAACGAGCAAGTTTAGGTTCAAGCAGCACAAGGAGTTTAGCAGGATGGCAGGCACTGTTTGTCCCATGCCACCCTCCTGAACCAGTGTTTACAAGTGCAGCATCTGAAGAGAGCATTTAATATTTCTGTCCTCCCCTTTCCAGAATGCTGTTTCAAAAACCAACCCAAGGGCAGTGTGTGTGTTACTAAAAAGGGGCTGAAGCAGCTGCATATTGAATGGTTTATTTTAGGTCCTTTCAGGCCTGCACAGATGACTCGGTCTCCCTGGAAAAGGGATAGCAGACTTCCCTGCCATTTAAAAACCGCTTTTGCTTGCTTGATTTTGTTTTCTAAAGAGAATTTCTCTTCTTTAAACAGCTTTTTAAAAGTGTATATAGCAGCAGTATGGTACAAAGATGAGCACTTTCTTTTCACAGTACACACAGGTTTAGTATTGCCACTGAAAATATGCCTTAAACAAATGCCTTGAAAAACAGCATTCGCTCTGTATTCCTGATCCACCCAGAGTGTTTATAACCCTTTGCAAATTCAATTACCAGAATTTAAATAATAAAACTGGAAAGTGTTAAATATCATTCCAGAATTGGAATTACAGTAGATCCCACATTCCCCCAACGCTGGCGCTTTGCCAGGCAGGTGCATGCTGCTCTATATACAGAAGAAAAAAAAAACCCAGAAGCAAACATGTTTTATATTAAATATACATAAATAGCAGGACTGCAGACTGGAGAGCCATGCTTGAGATAATACTGAGTCTGTGCTGGCAGAGTCCTTTGCCAAACACGGGGACAGACGAGTCCTCCCGAGCCCATCTGTCCGAGCTGGGCTTTAGTAGGATCTGTCCCAAACCCAGCCCTGCTGCAGGCAGAGGGATGCACACTATGAATGGGGTGGTTCACAGCTTCTTCACTTTGTCTTTGTTTTTCTGGAGTTTAGTGTGCACCACCTTGAGAGTAGTGAGGAAGTTCCCGAGGAAGAGCAGCAGGAACGTGAAAGCCAACACAAAAACCTGAGAGGGGAGAAGAAGCTGCATTTACTACTTTTTACTATTACAACATGGATTATATTCAACACTGCTGGACTCCACTGGACATAGAACCGGCCCTGTGCTGCATTATGCTGAAATATTTAATTGGAGTCAGATGCCCAAATATCTTTCAGGATGTGGTTAAACACCCCCTCTCCCCCTGCTCCGTGCTTTTTCCGAGCAGAGCCAACACACACCTGCCATTCTTTGCACTCCTTGTGCCTTGACAATCCGAAAAGCGTGATTGCATTATATAGCTGCCAGAACTGCAAAGGGATAAAAAAAATACATTTTCATTACTAGCAAAATAAAAATGAAACCCTGGGAACATTCTTCACGGGTATGTGTGATCCAAAGCACCTTCGTGTGGTGCTGTGACACTGCACCCAGGGGGAGAACGGGACTGCCCAACTTACATGCCCGAAGAACAAGAAGGGAAGGAGAAACGTCAGCCCCCGCCACATCCAGGACTGAAATCCTTCTGGAAAAGGTTGACAGACAGGCAGAGTGTGAGCACAGAAGAGCCAGGACTGGAGCTGCAGCTCTTCCCCACCCAGACCACCCCGTAAGGGCTGTTCCTGTCCTGCTCTGCAATAACCAACCAATTTGAAGGTGGGATAATGGAAGGAGGATGAAGATGGGGATAACCAAAACCTCCGTCTTGACCCCCTCAAAAGCTGACAGAGATCAGATCCCTCTGCTCCCGACCCACAGGACCTAAGGAGAAGGATAAAAACCTTGCTCTCCTTCCTGCCTTGGGACACAGGCAGCAAGGCAGGGGGGCAGCTCTGCAAAGCTCACTCTCGAAGGCCACACAGCCCTCTCCCTCCCTATCACTGCATCCAAAACCTGTGCCAAAACTGTGCAAAGAAAGTATTGCAGAAAACCTCACCCACTGTAAGGTCCAAGTGGTTTCTCTCCCCCAAAGCCCGGAGCCTATAGAGGCAGCCCCTTTGGTAATAATACTGTAGGAACTGAACACAGCCTGGAGAAGGAAAGAGAAGACATTACTGCTTTGGCTATTCTGAGGTATGATAAGTATCAAATTACTTTAATAATATTTAATCCAAGAGCATTTAATTATTGCTTATATTTGTAGACTGCATATTTGTACACTATCTTTATATTCCTAGTTTAATACTCCAGTATTTACCAAACAGAAGTGTTTTCTTCTAAGCATGTAAAGACACAAAATTACTTTATGCTGTGAATTAGCAAGGTAAGAAATACTCACTCTGAAATATTGAAAATGCTAAAAATTGACTGCGAAACATCTGATACATGAGTCCATCTGGCCTGGAAGCAAAACACAGGGGAGGTCCATTAGTTTGCTAAAAGCAGGTGACATGACACCCTTCCCCTTTACCACCAAGCCTCATCCCATTAGCAAACGAACCAGCAGCTGGTACCCAGCCCATTCCACCCCACTGGGAGCCCAGAGAGGTGCTACAGCCACACAGAAAACACTCTCATTGATTAGGTTTCCCCTCTCCCACATGTATAAAAATCTTTGCCATTATCCCAGTTTTCTTTAGGCAGCAAAGCCATTCGGCATCATCCGCATCAAGAATCCGAGCGGTGGAGAAGGGGGGGGTTGTGCTCATTATCCTGAGGGTAGTTCAGGATAGATGGAGGACAAGGGATCTTCTGCTCCAGCAATTATATCATCCCCTTACAATTTCTAATAATTAAAACAAATTTTAATAATTAAATCTAATCAGTTCATGCCCAAGATGAGACGGGTTGAATGGGGGCTGTCCATGGGGTGCATCGCTGGGTTGTCTGACACCACTCCCCTGTATTTTTGGCTTTGGACTCTGTAATCAGGATTTAATAAAGGCACCAAACCTTCATTTTGTGGTGTCCTTCCTCTACAGCAGCAAAGTGCTGCTCGTTTCCTTACTTACAGAGATAGAAATTTGGAGCCTTGCAGAGGCTTTGCTACCACCACCCCAACTACATTGTAAGGTTTGTGTTTCTTTCTTTCTTTTTTTTAAACCAGCAATGTAAATACAAACTTGCAGTGTTGTATTTATCACTGGAAACATCTGTAACATCAAACAAATATTAAGTGTGATGCTCTGCCATGAGCCCATGTGGCCACAGCTTCCCTGTCACGCTGAATTTGAATGCTCAGATGACATAAACACCATGAAACAGGCTTGAAGCACCTCGAGCAGGCGACAGCAGACTCACCACGTCAACATCACTCCAGACAGGAACGTGGAAACGTAGTGATGGGACACCCACCAGCCTTTGATCCTGAGAAAAAAACAAATGTGGCAGTTAAGACAAGAAACATGGATTTCAACACCAAAGCCCAGCTTTATGGACAAAAATGATCCTGACTTGGGAAGGAGGGACAGGGAACAGAACAGTCAGCCCAACTCAAGCACAAGGGATGCTGCAGAACACTGTCCTGGCAGTGTGGCTTAGTTGGGAGCACAAATCCATGGCATTGGAGGGAGGCTCAGGACCAGGGCTCTCCAGCACATCCAGCAGCAGCAGTCCCTGGAGCAGGAGGCACCTCCATGGCTAATGACACACAAGTGTCAGCCCACACACCCTTTTTTTCCCTGCCATGGAAGGAAGTGACGTTTCCAAGGCCTTCCTATGAGGTGGCTGGTTCTTTCAGACATTAGCACTAAAGGGAGCTCAGAAAACAACAGTAAAGTGAGCAAGGGCTGTAGTGGAGCAGAATCAAGAAGGGAGGGGCTGCTCCAGAGCCAAAGCTGCCTTGGAAACTAAGCCAGCATGGGTTGATTTCGGGCATTTGGCCATGGATTGATTTGGGGCATTTCTGACCAAAAGTGTGTGACCTCTGACACAAAGCAGCACACTTACACCCCAGGCCACACCTACAAACCCCACAGCTACCATAAACATCCAACACTTTGGACCAAGAACTTGGGGACTTCTAGGAACTGTAACTTCTCTCTCCCCAAATTTCAGGTGGCCACATCTGCCCTTGGAAGCAACCAGGAAGGGGGATGGAGACAAGACCCTGCAAAGAGGCATCAGCATCTCATATTTGCTGGGCTTCAATGCCAAGCTGAATCCCCACTTGTCTCTTATTTTCTTTTAAGGACATTTCATGCTCTACATGGTTTTTGCAGGTGGCACTGTACCTTGATCCATTGCTAATGAGAATGCTTTCCCGTATCGTCAGCGTGCAGTAATACCACACTAACAGAA